TATATAATAATATACTATACATGAACAAGTGAAAAGATAAAGACACCGCGCAGTTAAGAGAGGAAGAGTAACTGATAAGATATCAACGCCAATTCGCCAAGCTCCTCATTAGCGAATAAAGTAAGCGGAAGAATTACTGAACTTTGGGAACTTGGAAAATATCATGCACCTCCAGAGGCAACTCTGAGGTTAGGCAACTTTGACACTGCAAGCGTCAACGCCATCGATGCAACAACTAGCTTAAATTCTCACGCGAAAGCTTAAGCAAATGAGAGCAACCAAATTCTTAGTTAAATCTTACTAATCAGTCTGCAAACATAACGAATTTATCTACTTCGCACAGAATACGTCTGGCCGCTAAACGTGACAAAAATCAAAATTTGGATGAGAGCAAAAGTTGGCGATATATGTAGATTAATCAATCCGATAAAAAATTCATCAGAGGGCCGGAATTCAATTTTGACAAAATTGAAATTTAACAATTATGAATATTAAAAGTTGAAGGAATTAAAATGCAGTGTCACAAATTGGGTAAGGCTTTATTATCTTGGAATTGCTTACAAATCTTTATTGAGTTGAAATTTTAGACCTATGCCTTTTAGGGTATGGAGAAAGCACTGAAAAATGTATCACGTTTCTCTCTTTGTTTCTTAATTAAAATTAAAAAATTATAAAATTTCCTTATTTCCGTTGTCATATATAAACACACTTCGGTTGTATCATGGTCTAAAAAAAATCACTGATTATATTTAACTGTAAATTGGAGCATAGCTGTCCGGTTGGAAAAAGAAAATAGGCCATCGGCTGAGAGATAATACATAATAATATCGAGAAATCTCTGCATTTATTTGGCTTATATAATATTGATGCTTCAGCTTTAACTTTTTACTGGCACAATCTACTTGGTCAATGTATTTATATGAATAGATGCAACCCATATTAAGCCATATATATATGTACACATATCTGCCTCAGTTGTAGTCAAAATCTCTAACTTTTGCACTGTTAACTTCTTCTTCTTCCGAGATATCTATCTAAAGTTATTGGCAAATCGGAAAATATCGATTTTGTAATAAATTTAGTCTGTTTCGGAACATTAATGAGTATTTTTCAGCTCACAATGATTTGCTTCTTTTGTGCTGCTATCGCTTTAGCATAGTTTTAGTTTTTTAGTAATAATGTAAATTTCAGACTTGAGCCGGTTCGACTTGAATCAGGTTTTTTTCACATGCCCAAAAACTTTATTTACTTATCAGCTTCATGAGTTCGCCAAATATATATAAATATATAGAAAATTATATTTTTTTTAAGTAAAGAAATAAATATGAATATATATTTGATATATGTTTGGCATTGGCAGTGTATTGAGCGACGACAACGGCAGCATTCAAGATCGGACTCCATATATGCAGTCACACGCGCTGGGCACAGATTCTAAAAATCCATGGCCAAAACCAATTGAACAGCAACGTAAATATTTGCGCCTCTATGCGGCTCATAAAGCACGGGTCATATGCCGCAACGGCTGTGCGCTGTGAATATGGCCAATAACGTATGCCCAGGCCCATAAAAAGCATTAACAGCCACCTGTAAATGCAGTCGCAAAGTGTTTTAAAGGCGATAACTCAGAGTCGTCGGGCCGACGGAATGCTTAAGACAATGGCTCGACGTTCATGCGCGGCTACCTGGGGAGGTACAGAGCTCCGCAGCTCCGACTGGGCATTGGTAGCCCCGGCGACGACTGCTCAGGTGTTGAATTACTTTTGAAACGGCAACAAATTTGCGACACGATGTCAAAGTCACACTAGATAAGAGCTAAAGCCAAACTACGTAGTAAGCAAGTTTTTCGTCTCTGGCACGCTTCACGTTGGCTTCTTTGTTAAAGCGCACACACACATACACACACACACACATACACGCACTCACAAATATATATAAATATTTAGATGGCTATCGACTCACCTTTAAGGTATTGGAAATCTTTCCAGCTCGGGCGATGGCAGTGCCAAACGTGGAGGGCGCTATGGCTATCGAAGCCGTCTCATTGCAGAGCAGCAGCAGCGAGATGAGCAGCAGCGCCAGGGCTAGCCATGGATGCGACTGTCTTTTGCGTATCATGTTGAACTTGGCTCCCACTCTGGCTCTAGCTCTGGCTCTAACTCTGGCTCTGGCTCTGGCTTTGACTTGTGAACTGCGACTGAGCAAATAGAAACGAATAATAATGCATTAGTCGATTGTCTACAGCAATCATGTGTGTTTGCAAACGCGCGACGCACCGCACCGCACCGCAACCGAACCGAACCGTACCGCACCGAGCTCTGCTCTGCTCAGACTACTTCTTGGTCAGGGCCAAGCGCGAATGTCAACAAGAAGCAGCAGCAGCAGCGGCAGCAGCAGCTGTGAACTAAGCTGAGCTAAGCATGAGCCACTTGACTCGCTTTTGTTGAGACTGGCGCGGCATTGTCTTACATTTAATTGGCTTGAATTATATTCGAATCTGTTGACTTTAGCCGGCGCTGCCTCGCATTAGCCTAATACAGACATTATTCAATTTATTTTGCTGCCGCTTTGAGGTCAATGCGCGCTCAAGCTTCACGCAAATATTTGCTGCTCCCGGGGCGCGTGATGAATTAGCTATGCATGCGATGTCGTCGCTGTCGCCTGATCTCTGCAACGTGTGAATCCATTAACAGCCGCTTCAATGACGGCGCCGCCTAATAGGAGCAGCGCAGAGCAAACCGGAAGCCATGCGGAAGGTTGTCAACTTATTAGTTACATTTAATGATCCAATTGATTCACAATATTCGGACTAAGGGATCTGAATCTAGAGTGCTAATTTCTTGGGGCGACACTTCCTCTTCCTCAAGAATCGCTCAATCAGTGACTCTTCTGTCTTCTCTCTGTCTGGTGTGCGCCTTAGCTGGCCAACTACTAAATGACTTGGGCAACAAACTCGTTTACGACTAACAGTGATGAGACGACGGTTTATAAAAACAAATGTACAGCCACTTGGCATATAACACAACGGCACTAGCAACGGCAACAGCAAGCAAAAAATGCTTCATAATACGCGTGCATTGAATATTAGCGAAAAAAGAAGAAGCGTTAGAGGCTGACACGCCCACTGGCTTATGACTGGCAAAAAAGAGGCAGCCAAATCGCCTCAGACAGTGCATAACAAAGCAAATCTGTGAGAGGATAGGTGAGAGAGGGGGGCAGACAATCCATCGGACGACGCTTAAACCACTAACCCACTTCCTACTTGAGCCAAGTGCGACGACATTGCCGTTGCCGTTGCCGTTGCCGTGGGCCGCAGCAGACAATGCTAAGGAAACACTTGCACTTTCGTGGAAAGTTGTTTGACCAGCTGCAGACAGACAGAGAGAGAGAGAGAGGGGGGAAAGATCAAATGAGTTGAATGGAGAGAGAGAGAGAGAGTGAGAGAGAGGGAGGGAAAGATCGAGAGCCTTGCCAATCATAAATATGTACAAGYCTGCCTATGAATATGTATTCGTCGTCGTCGTCTTCGCATTCGTATGGAAATTAGCTTGAGGTAATATTGCATTCATAGTGGAGACACAACAGCAGAATGCGTCGATTTTGCAATGGGCATTTGTAAAAGGAGAGAGAGCAGCAGCAGCAGCAACAGCTGGCCAGCTGCCAAATACCAAATGAGTGGAGCTGCAGAAAGCAGCTGCCTGGAGAGTGCAGCAGGAGAGCGCAGCCAATTGCAGGCCCCCCCCCCCCCCCCCCCAAAAAAAAAAAAAAAACGAGACTCTGCAGCTGAGCTGATAAAACGAGCAAACAGACTGCGTATGCTACGACGACGACGACGACGTGAGCTGCCAGCGAATACCGCTATGCGAGCCATTACGTAAGCTGCGATCAAAACAAAAAAGGTAAATATTGAAGAAGAAGCAGAAGTAGGAGGAGGGTAAAAAAACGATAAATAAATGAGACCAACAAGAGCTGAAAACGGCCAGTGAAATGAGCTGTGAAGTGGAGGAGAGAGTGAGTTGCAGACAGAAAGAGAGTGAGTGATGAAGAGAGAGAGGGAGAGTGATGGAGAGTGAGACACTTATGGCAGATGAGCCATTGATAACGTGATCGAAATGAGTTTCTGCCATTTCGTTTTAGGCCAGCGTGCAAATTGAAACCTAATGCCAAATTTCACTTGACCCCTTATATAAGCAGGCTGTAAACGGAACTAATAAGCCACGTTACAGATATACATACATATATGAAATGCATATATATGTCTATGTATAGCAATAACTGTTTGCATTGGCATACGAGCGTAAAGTTAAACAATATTAAGTTTGACATAGTTAAGGCTAAGCAAACGCGACTCAATGGCTGAGTTGAGCTAAAGCTAATAACAACAATAGGTAATTATCGATTAACGATTAACGATTGCACACACACACACACAGGCACAAGCTCTCTACATACAGGATGTTAAACACAAATATCGCACTGCACAAGTTCAAGTTTGTCGTCTAAGTCTTCTGTTTGGCGCGTTTCTCTTGCTCGTTTGCGATCTGTGGCTCGCCGCGTGTTTCTCGTTTGACTGCCGCCGTTGAACTGAGTCTGGGCCGGGCCAGCGGTGCGCTTAAGCGTCAAATCGCTCTTTTCCATGCGCGCTCAAATCTGCTGCCAGCTGCGGCTGTCGGCTGTCGGCTGTAGGCTGTGGGCTGTGGGCGGGGCAGCAGGCGACGATGGAAGTCTGACAGCTCCTAGCAAAGAGCTTACTTTTTTTGGACTTCTCTGGCTGCTTCTTGGCGCAAAGCTGCGTAAATTATGCACGAAATTTGGCTAGTCGGATTTCTATTTGGCAAGAAACGGGGCAGCTGAATAACGACTGCGTATTCTTGACCAAGATGAGGCCGCGAAGTGTCTATCCGCATCGTTGATCTATGGACTCGTACAATTAGTTTGTTTTTTGGTTTTTGTTGTTTTGGCCAACATGGAAAAGCAGTTGACACTGAAAACCATTTGAGATCAAGGATAAAGCGTTCGCAATAAAGCGATACCCGCCTCACCTCGCCTCGCCGCGCAGATGGCAAGGCAAATGATGAGCAAATGACGGCGACAAACTGTAAACTGCTTAATTATTCAATTTAATTGACTTTTCACTAATTGCCCCAAAATGCATTGTGCAATCAGCTTGGCCCTAGATGACAGTTCACATGTGCAAAATCATGCCCCACCTGACCCAATCGCGCTCTATCTACAGCATCTGCACTTGACTATGTACTCAGCCTGAGCTTGAGCTTTGCGATTGCCGGAATCCGTATTCGTATCCAAATTGTGCATTCAGCTGCTGCTCGGTTGAGTGGAAAGTGTGTCACCATATTGTTCTATACAAATATTTGGACGGGCGTAAATTATTAAAAACATATGTGCATAAAAAACTAAATATAATATAACGCTGCGGCCCCGCTTGGGTAAGCTGGAATTTCGAAAGCGAGCCGGCAGTAAAATTTACTCTGTATAAATAAACAAGAACTGACGCATGTCGCTCATAAAAATCAACGTAGTAATGAGGCTAGCACAAGCTACCTGAGAGTTCATGCAACGATGCTAGAGCTGAAGTTGTTCTTGACTTGTCCCGTTGTATCTGCCAATTCAGGGTCAACTGACAATCATTCTGCGATGCTGACGTCACTCGACAAAAGTTGCTGTTTTTACAGTTGACTTGTTCGCAGCTGTAAAGATAAAGCGAAAATGTATCATTTCAAGTTCTATAAAGAGCAGTTTTACATGATAAATAAAAATATTTTTAATTAAATCTTGTCTTTTTTCTTTATTATTTTAATTTTTTATTTTTATTTATTTTATTTTAGTTTATTTTATTTTGCCTCTTTAAATAATTGCATAAACCTTAAATTAAGAAATTGGTATTTCAAATTTACAATTGCAACGACTTTATAAATTTGAATTTTAGCGCGCGTTTTTACTTTAAAATTATATTTTTTAGCTTTTGTTAGTAGCTCATAGAACAGTAGTAGCAACGAGCTTCTGTAAGCGATCAATATTGTATTAAGCATGCAACATAACCATTGTGGTTTGAGAAAGAACACTGGCTACGAACTATAGAGGGCTTACTGAACAGCTATTGTGAATAGTTGGCGTGCAGGTATTCTCACTAGAGTGCGCTACAAGTTTTAGCGAAGACAACTACACATAGAAAAGTGTTGTATCACCGAGAGCTCGAATATATGTGAAATCTGCTTTCGAGATTTGTAACTTGGTTAATTTCCCTATTTTTCACTTAGTAATAAAATCTCTATTAGCCATCTGTGAGAATTTTATATGACTATGGCGCCCTCTGTGCTGCTGAATTTGTACTAAGGGGATATCCTTTAGCGCTGTTAAGTTTACAGAGGGTAATTTTCATATTATTTCGTAGGAAATAAAAACATCCTTGGGAAATTTTTTTGCAGCAAATAAACATACCTTGGAATATGCTTAGTTGAAATATTTCCGTTAGGAAATAATATTAGGGAAATCTAAATTTGTTATATTTCCGAATTCCGCAAAGCGCGTAAACTGTTATATCAATCAATTTGTTATATATTTTCAAAAGGAACGTTAGCTTCCACAGTAAGGAATTATATATCCCAAACGAGCAAAGTACGAATAATCTGCTTTTCCATTTTTAAAGACTTTTGCTGAGCATTTTCGGATCATTAGCTAACACCTTGACATTTTTCAAGCCGTTTATCGATTGATTTTGATGACTATAAAGACTTTCATGATTTCTTCATTGGACCTACACACGCAAAACGTTGGCTTTATATATGTTATTTGGCAATAACTCAAAGTGAAAGTCGCCTTATTTGCATCGTATGTGTGTGTGTCAAGCATGCATGAATCACATGAATAGCGCCGAAAATGTGCACCGGCGGCAGTAGCAGTGGGTGATGCAGCCACGCCCCACCCTGGCAGCGCAAATTAACTTAACACTCATAAATCAGCGTTAACGGCTACCGCAAAAGTGTTGCATAAAAAATAGTTATGACACACTGAGTATTTTTTTGTGAAACAGAAACTCAAACTGAAAATGAAACGGGCACTGGAGCTGGGAACTGGAATTGGAACTGGGAACTGGGATCGGGACTGGGCAACGGATAGGGAGTTGGGGTTGGTCAGGCAGCCCTGAGACTGTGCCGCCGAGATCCATGCCAAATAAACGATTCTCATAAAATACGTGAGTTTGCATTGCCAACTTGATGACCGCTGCACTCACACAAACACACATGCACACCCAAACACACACATTTTTTATGTGCATCACTCGAACCCGCAACGCGCTGCATGCAACATGCGGCCTCCTCTCGCACGCCTGTCAATAAAGCAGTTGGCCATTTGGTCATTTGGCTGGCTGACAAAATGGCGGCTGTCATTCTTGGTAATCAAATCGTAAACC